GCTTCTCATCCGAGAAGCTTCTGCTCTGACAGGATAGTGGGGAAGGGAAGGATTTAACGCAGGCAGCTGGTCATTTGTATCCTTTTAGAGGGTTGTTGAGGCCACTTGGGAGTCCCAAAGGTGCTTTTTTCAGGAGGCAATTGGGTTTTCTGCTTTTTCTTTTCTTTTGAAGACGTTTTGCTTCTCATCCAGTGAGCTTCTTCAGTCTGACAGGAATAGTGGGGAAGGAAAGGATTTAGCTGAAAATTAAAGTCAAGAAAGTTCAGTTGCCTTCTAAAAAATAGCACCTTCGGGGGAACCCTGACTTAGATGAGAGAGAATCCCTACAGACTTGTAGCTAATATAATTTGGGATGAACACCTTTCGGTGGTGTGGGAGTAGGAATGGGTTTCCAGAGAGAAAAATTGCAGGTTACAGGAACCATTTGCACCACTCAGGTGACCCTGAAGACACAGACAAACCTCCAAGCGGCCTCAACGACCCTCTGAAAGGATGCAAATGACCAGCGGTCTGCAAGGAGGATCAATCCTTCCATTCCCCATCATCCAGTCAGAGCTGAAGAAGCTCCTTGGACGAGAAGAGAAACGTCTTCAAAAGAAAAACACGGAAGTCCAGTTACCTCCTATTGGGACAATGAAGGGAAACTAACCAAGGATAGAAGCAACCTGGAATTAGGGAGAAACTTCCTAACAGTGAGGACAATTAACCAGTGGAACTGCCTGCCACCAGAAGTTGTGGGTGCTTTCATCAGTGGAGGCTTTTAAAGAAGAGACCGGACAGCCACTTGTCTGCAACGGTATAGGGTCTCCTGCTTGAGCAAGGGGCTGGACTAGAAGACCTCTGAGGTCCCTTCCATCTCTATTCTGATTGATTGATGGATTCGAAGCCCCGGTATCGTACGCATTAATTTATTTTCCTGGGCTTGTGGACCGCTTCAGTCGTGAACGGCTCTCGGTGGCATTCATCCCGTCTCGTCGGCAACACGGCACACAATGCCCTAAAATGAAAACAAATCAAGAATATTGTGCAAACCCCGGCATCTGACGCATCGGCGTTCGGATGAGGATAATAATCCCATTTTCCTTTGTTCCTAGGCAGATTCTCCCCGTTTGGAATCCTCCAGATGTTGTCAGCTGCCACTCGCAGCCTCGAAGCATGACAGATTGTCAGGATGCGAGCGGGGGGGGGGGGACTGTTAGGATCCCAGGGGTGGTGAATCTGACACTGCCTTTCTCCTCTTAGTAACCCTGTCTTCCGTACTCATAGGCTACACTGTCCAAACTCCTCAGCCTAGCTCCTCAACCAGCTGCACAGAGCTTTTTAACGCTGCTGGGGAGAGCTTTGTGTCGAAAGAATTTGAGGAGGGGGCTGTTTCGTTTTGCAGACTAGCCCCTGGGCAGATGCCCCCTCGTTTGGGGTTGTGTGCGGTGAAAATCTACAAGAGTCTAAAAGAGTCGAGGGGTAGATTTGCACCAAATGGGGTTTAAGGGGACCCCACCCTAACGTTCCCCTCTGCTCTTCAAACAATGTGCCATTTGTGGGCAGAGAAATCAATTCTTCAACACAAACCAAGATCGAATTCAGACAACCGAGAGTCCTGCATCCGGTTTTGGTCACCACACTATATAAAAAAAAGATGTTGAGACTCTAGAAAGAGTGCAGAGAAGAGCAACCAGGAGGATGAGGGGACTGGAGGCTAAAACATGAGATGAACGGTTGCAGAAACTGGGTTTGGCTAGTCTAGAGAGGAGAAGAACCAGGGGAGGCATGAGAGCAGTTTTCCAGTCTGCCACAGAGAGCAGGAAGGGGGCCAGCTATTTTCCAAGGCAGACGGAAGGAAGGAAGGAAGGAAGGAAGGAAGGAAGGAAGGAAGGAAGGAAGGAAGGAAGGAAGGAAGGAAGGAAGGAAGGAAAGGGAAGGAAGAGAATGGAAAGAGGGAGAGAGAAAGGAAAGAAAGAAAGAATGGAAAGAGGGAGTGAGAGAGAGAGAGGAAGGAGAGAAGGAAAAAGAAGAAGGAAGGAAGGAAGGAAGGAAGGAAGGAAGGAAGGAAGGAAGGGAATGGAAAGAGGGAGAGAGAAAAAGGAAAGAAAGAAAAGAAAGAATGAAAGAAAGAAAGAAAGAAAGAAAGAAAGAAAGAAAGAAAGAAAGAAAGAAAGAAAGAAAGAAAGACATCTGAGCAAACCATGGATGGACAGAAGACATGTCTATTTTAAGGAAAAGAAGGATGGGGTGACAAAATAGCAGTCTTCCAATATCTCAGCGCTTGCCACAAAGAAGAGATGTAAAAAAGATGTTGAGACTCTAGAAAAAGTGCAGAGAAGAGCAACCAGGATGATGAGGGGACTGGAGGCTAAAACATATGAAGAACAGTGCAGGAACTGGGCCTGGCTAGTCTAGGGAAGAGAAGGACCAGGGGAGACAGGAGAGCATCTTCCAATATTTGAGGGGCTGCCACAGAGAGGAGGAGGGGGTCAAGCTGTTCTCCAAGGCACCAAAAGCCAGACAAGAAATAATGGATGGAAACTGACCAAGGAGAGATTCAACCTGGAAATAAGGAGAATTTTTCCTGACAATGAGAACAATCAATCCATGGAACAGAAGTTGCCCTTGGAAGTTGTGGGAGCTTCATCCCTGGAGGCTTTCAAGGAGAGATTGGACTCCCATCTGTCAGTAATGGTGTAGGGTCTCCCGCTTGGGCAGGGGGTTGGACTAGATGACCTACAAACTCCCTTCCAACTCTGTTAATCTGTTCAATTCGATCAGCACAAAACTTTGGTGGGCTTCTGTTCTGTTGCACCGAGTTGGTTGTTTCCAAGGGGTGGGGGATGAAAAGGTGTGTCGGGTGAAGGGAAGTGGGGAAGGCTCCCATGTCTTCATTTGGCCCCTTTAGCGCTAAACCAGAGAGGTTTGGGGGGGGAAAGCCAGGCGCCTTCGCAAGTGCACCACGTCCTCAGATCAACACGCTGGGATTGTTGTGATTTTCTCGTCATTTGCTGTGATGGCCGATTAGAGGAGAGCAGAGGCAGCTCCAATCATATAAAACAGGCAAGAAACGGTATTTTATAAGCAGCCGATCACGTCCCCCGCCGGGTTTAACCCGGTGATTGAATGTGTGCACTGCACACAAAACATTGACTCTTTAGTTAAGCATACTGTCTTTGTTTGCGGGATACACAAGCCTCACAATTCTGGGCCCCCACTCCCAGGTTTTAAAGCTGAGATTAATGGCAGGCTTATTTATTAATTAAGCATCAAACCTGGTTGTTAAAATTGACCAGCTAAATAAAAAAGAGATTGCTGACACTTGAACGAAAAGTCTAAGTTACGGAGCAGGGCTTCCCGGAAAGTTTAAGAAGCGTGGATGGATTTCGAGAGCTGGCTGGGGACTTCTGGGAGTTCAAATCGCTGCAAGCAAGCTGGGGAATTCTGGGTGTGGAAGTCTCTGCAAGATGGCTAGGGAATTCTGGGAATTTAAAATCCATGCATGCTGGCTGGATAATTCTGGGAGTTAAAAAAAAAATCCATGCATGCTGGCTGGGGAATTCTGGGAGTTAAAAACATCTATGCATGCTGGCTGGGGAATTCTGGGAGTTAAAAAAATCCATGCATGCTGGCTGGGGAATTCTGGGAGTTAAAAACATCTATGCATGCTGGCTGGGGAATTCTGGGAGTTAAAACATCCATGCATGCTGGCTGGGGAATTCTGGGAATTAAAAAAAATCCATGCATGCTGGCTGGGGAATTCTGGGAGTTAAAAAAATCCATGCATGCTGGCTGGGGAATTCTGGGAGTTAAAAACATCTATGCATGCTGGCTGGGGAATTCTGGGAGTTAAAACATCCATGCATCCTAGCTGGGGAATTCTGAGAGTTAAAAAAATCTATGCATGCTGGCTGAGGAATTCTGGGAGCTGAAATCTGTGCATGGTAGCTGGGGAATTCTGGGAGTTGAAGTCCACCCATCGTAAAGTTTCTGAGCTTGGAAAGCATTGCTCCAGAGTGATGGAGCATCTGTCTTACTGAAGCATACTGGCCGGGGAATTCTGGGAGTTGAAATTCCTGCAAGCAAACTGACTAGGGAATTTTGGGAGTTAAAGTCTATCCATCGTAAAGCTGCTGAGTTGGGTAGTGATGGAAGATCTGTCTAACTGAAGCATATTGGCTGGGGAATTGTGGGAGTTGAAGTTTT